GGCCTGCATTCTGAAAGGATGTCAGGTCGAGAAGGCAGACCTGAAGGGTCAGTATGATGGGTGGGATTTGGCCTACTGGGTCTCGTAAGGAGGTCCAGGTCGGCCAAAGGATGGGTTGTAGGAGGTTTGGGAACCTAACATGTTGTAAGTGCTTATGATAAGGCACTTAGTAACGCTTTGTGTTCACACAGCGCCAGAAGGCGTTCCTGTGTGGACTAAGCGCGGCGGAGCTTAGCCGCTAGGGTGGAGATTTCATTTATGTCGATTCCACAAATCAAGTTAAAACTAGATTTATGTCATCGGCTATAGATGAAGAGGCAGGAGCGGTTTTGGGAGGTGGACGGAAGCCTTTGGTGAAGGCTTCGTCTGGGAGGGTTTCGGAGGGGGGCCCCATATCGGTTGTGAAGCCGGTTTTGGGGCGGGGTGGTTCGCCTTTGATAAGGCGGGGAAGTTCGCCACAGTGGGCGGGGGGGGGGGGGGGGGGCTTTAGGCGCTTTGTTGACCGCCGGACCCTTACCCTTCTTCTTAGAAGAGGGTTTGGGCTTCGGCGCTCGTGGGCAACCTTTATAGTTGGCCGTGTGGGGTGAGGCCGGAGGGGTGAGAGTGTCTCGAGTTCGAGAGCACTCCTTTCTGGGATGTGACTCGAGGCACTTTACGCACCTCGGAGTCGCGGAACAGTTAGCCGCCGCATGCCCGTAAAGCTGGCATCGGTGGCACTGTCCCGGGGTACCGCGACGGTGAGGGGGTTCTACTTTAACCCCGGTAAGGCCGCAGACCCTAAGGTCTTTAGCCTTGAAAATGTCACGAGCGTTAGGGACATTTGGAATGATGAGTAGAGCCAGAGGGAAAGGCCTGCCGTCTCTACTGTGCATCTTGTGAACGGATTCTACAGGGAATCCCTGTTCGTTTAGATCCTTATGGATCAGGTCGGTGGCGAGCTCGTACGGAACATTTCTTAGGACCGCACGAACTTTGCGCTCCTCTGGGAGAGCGTAGGTATGATAACCCACCTTGTGGTGGGTTAGGAGTCTAGTGAGGGCTCTATAGTCCTCACTAGTGGGTGTTTCCACACGGATAGCTACACCCATGTTTTTGGCATGGGTGTAGTTTATCTTGTTTTGTGTGCAGAGATTCGAGACCTCTGCCCACTTGAATTTGTCCCGTATAAATACGGGAGGCGGAGGCTTGGGTTTACCCGGCTGCGGAGCGCATTTATTATGCGGCCGCAGCGGGGTGAAGGAAGGAGTAATACTAGGAGTATTCTCCCGAGTGGCTTTCTTGCCGGTGTTGCCTCTGGTAAGGTTTGGGCCGAGGGAAGTTTTCTCAGTGGTATTACTTACCGAAGATACCCCGCCCGATTTTTAGAGCGACGTTTTCCGTAGAAGCGTCCGCACTTGCTCTAGGAGAGCGTGGCTTACGAGGCTTCTTGCGGCTTCTAACCGTATGAAAAGAACTTGAGGATTCGTCGGAATCGGACGTCCTGAGAAGGTCGTTGTCCGACGGTGAGGGAGGGTGGGGGGGGGATCACTGTGTAGCGGTCCTCTTCATGGATGTGCTTTCGCACTCCATGACGGAGGTTGAGGGAGGCGCAGATGCCTGGGATTGGGAATTCTTTGCGCTGAGGATGGCTTGGTAGAGGTGATCGGGTAGGATACGTTGAAGTTCCTCGAAGGAGAATAGTCTATTGTACAGATCGGATATGTCGGCAATGCAAGCCGTTAAATGCGAGAAAGAGAGAGGAGTAGATGTATTTCACTCGCACTTCTCTCCGTCACACCTACCTTGGTAGGTTAGAGGGAGATAGGGCGAGTGTGCAAAAGACCGACCCCGCGCCGAAGCGAGGGGGGGAAGGGGGACGCGGAAAGATGCGGCTATACCTAATGGAGTTAGCGGCAAAACTTCACCCTTGGGACAAGGCCCAAGTGCACTGGGATCGGGTCTTCGGTGTTGCTAAAGCCTGAGGGGTCTTAGCGAGCGCCCCGGGATCGCTCAGCCGGCTTAGTTGCCACCGTATGGTATCCACCGACTCAAAGTTGATAGTGAGTCAAGTCCTACTGTTTTAATGTTTTGAAAAAAAATAAAAGCAGCAGGGCCTGCGCTCGGGGTGTGCAGGCACGAGGCGTACTCACAGTTTGGATAGAAGAGAGTCGTGTACGCGCACGGGGGCGCGCAACGAAAGCTGAGAGCGGAATGTTGTTTTTTTTGTCCAGAATCTCCTCCCTACTTCCTTTTATACACTTATCCTTTCTAGAACCTTCTACACACACACATCTACGAGTTCATTCGCTTTAGTTTAGGTATCCATCCCCTCAACCAGTCAAATCCATTACTAAATATTGTGATATTCTAGTATATTATTCTAATAAAACGATAAATCACTAATAGAATGTACATCTTAAATGTTTCAATATACTCAATAATCATTTGTCGTGGTGTCGTCGTCAAATATCTTCCTAATAAAATTTTATATTTTAATCATAACTCATTAACACCCATAATCATGTCCTGGCAACCAAAACCTTAGGAACCATTTAAATTCCTTTAACAATAACACTAATTGTTTTATTGAATGTTTCTAAAATGTTTATCGAATTCCATTAATAGGTAAATAATTCATTATTTATCGAGATTAGACAATGACTCTTCCTTGCTGCTTTCTCTTTTAGTGCATTTATTAATCACTTGAGCCTGATAACAAAAAAGGTATTTACAGTGGAATAATTAATCTTTTTGCATTAAATTTTCAGTTATACTAGTTACTGTATATTTTCAAAAACTATTAAGAACCTTTTAAGAGAATATAGCCATCAATAATTTTTATCGCAAACTTTATTAATATTATTCAATTACGACTTCCGCTAACTAGCTAAATCTATTTGTTCGTGAAATGAGCGCCATCTAGTGTTGAGTTACCAAACTATATATATAAATACCTATATTAAGTTACTATGATGTAGAACTACTACAATATACAGATAATACAATGAAATGTACAATATCTATTAGGATCATTTTAAGAAGATTTAATGATCAATAAATTTAATTACCAACTTTATTAATATATTCAAATACAATTTCCGCTAACTAACCAAATCTATTAGTTCGTGAATTTTATTTCTTTTCTTTTGTGAAATGAGCGCTGCCTAGTATGAATATTGTAAACTAGCTGCTCTGTATTTAAGGTACTAGGTACAACATATATGGATAATACAATGAATTTTGCATCTAGTCCGAGAGATGGCGAGACTATAATTTCTAGACTATTGTTTCGAGAAATAAATAAAGCGATATGATTACAGCCATAAGTATTGTCATTATTTATTTGCCTTTTCAGTGTTTTGACGTGGATACGTCTATGTTTTCGTTCTACGGGGGGTCATTCTGTGAGCAGGAGTATATGCACTAACGCCATCTATTGGCGTATAAGTGAACTATGCTTGCTCTGCAGGGGGAGGGGCATTCTGTCAGCGATGTGTTTCCTAACCTGGATGTTGGTGAAAATTTTAATGTTTGTGAAAAACATTTTAAAGAAGCAGATTTTACGGCATATATAACTGACAAATCTGGAAAAATTATTCAAAAGGTATCATTATAATATACAATACAATAAATAAATATAATACAATAAATAAAAAAAGAATTAGCTTTATGCCATACGTATGCATATGTACACATCCATCTACGAACACGTAAATATAGCTTTATATGCGTTAGCTATAAAATGTAAAATATTTTTGAGTGAATTTGCTAATCTTTAAATAAAAATAAATAAATTCGTGCAAATTCAAGTAAAGGACATCGTCGAAAATGGCCCCAATATGAACAAGCATGAATATTTTACAATAAATCGCCGACATCTTTACTGTCATGTCGTACATGAAGCTGTTAAGGATGTTCTACTTGTAATGTATATAATAATCGATAACTTGATTACACTTTAATTTTTACACTACGAACGATTTTTTTCATATCATCGACCTACCTATACTCATTAAACTCTATTTAAAACATTAATAATTAGTATTATTTTTTTTATCAATTACTCATATATCCATTCATACATAGACGTATCCACGCATAAAATATGGCTGTATCAATGATACAGCCAACCAGGGTTTTTTTTTATTTATTTATTATTTAAAGTAACGGTGATATATATTATATATGTTTATATCGCGGTGTGTATATATGTTTATATTGCTGGACGAGAGGTCGTTTATATACTAATTCACCAACAGGAGCCATGCTGCGTTCTTATATCTACCTACTTCCACACAACAACTGTTACCAGTATACCTACATTTGTTTTTAAAGTTTTTTTTTTTCAAATATTTAATTTGGCGTTTATTTGTATCAAAATGTATAAAGGAATTTAGCGCATCAGCTAAACATGTAAAAGAGAAAACGTTTATTTAGTAAACTGTTACAAGTTATTTTTGCCCCTCGTATAACATCTACTATTATAGCATTATAAACTGACTAGTCACCATGAACTAACTAATTTTGATTTATATTTAAACTATCCAGAAGAAATGAAACATATGATCGGCGGCCTCATTCTAATTCGAAGCTGTTTCATGTTGTTTGTGTCCTGATATTTGATGTTTATGTGTAATAAAAAATAATAAATTAATTAAAGTTATTTAAAAATGAAACATTAAATTAGGTTAACACTTAATATAATTATTAGTGTGTTAATCCTACATTATTCTTAATAATAATATATTATATTGCACGCAATTTACAATGACATCACACATAGGTATTCATTTCTCTGTTACAAGACCGTACTCATTCATAGTCACAAAAACTTTAATATACATGTATTTCTTTTTTCATATAAACAGTAAAATTAATACACTACAATATAATCATTTAAATTTGAATTACTTATACAAACATACAAATGTCGTTATATTATTCGTACAAACAAGTTATTGTCGTTTGTACTTTAAAAATCAGTCTTATAAAATTATCTATTAATATTTGGTATGAAAGGTTTAGAGGGTCGTTTTCTCTACGATGCTCGGCTGAGATTCTGGTTTCATGTTATTAGCTTGCGGCCTCGCTCTACCTGTAACATAAGGACATTAAAATTTAAACTAGGCATTCCCAAAATAATCAGTATCCATCATTGGAGTCGAAACCGGTCTATAAAATACACATAAACACACATAAGGTCTATAAAATAAGACCAAGTATTATTCGTTTTACAAATTGACTTAACCAGCTAATTTGGTAGAAAATTTCCAGGTTTATTCATCACAGTGAATTTAATTTATTTATCTTCTTTAATCCATATATGTCTCTTATGACTGCCATGGCCATGTAACTCATATGACAGTTCATGGTACATGATATTGTCCTCTCTGAAGTTCCTAGTCCGATTTCCAGCCAGATAAATGTAAAAAATATTTTCGGCGGTTGTTGTAATAATTTCTTTATTTCAGATATCCATAGTAAACTAATAAATACAACTAATCATTAGGGCTACAACTAGTTAGTTTGTGGTCTGGTCAATGCATGTGATGTAATCTAATATAGTATATTAATAACTTACAAATGACAAAACAATAGTCCTATTAATACTGTCTGAAGAATTTATTTTGTTATGATTCATACAATTATTCTTCTTTTAAATCAAATTAAAAGTCAAAATAATATTAAAACTCGTACAAATGGACTTCTTATGAGTACTTTTGAATCGTCCATTTTTTCCCTACCTCTGGTTCAGGACGTCTTTTGGCTGATAAGAAGAACGAGCAAGAAACTCACCAGCTCTAATGAGAGTCAGAAGAAAAAAATATTTACCTCCACCCATTAGAAGTTTCTGCAATGTGGAGAAGGGCGCATCAATCAGGATGCACAAAATGAAGGCAGCGATGAAGGTCAACGTCAGGTCAGACACGAATCGGTACAGCTGAAAAAATATGAGCTCTATTAAAATGCTTTTAGGTATAAAATCAAAAGAATATTTAGTGAATCTATTATATAGAATAAAGACAGTAATCCTTTGAGTGATTGGTTTATAAATTCAACCAAATACCAATGTATATTTATCGTGGTGATAGGATACCCTAGATTTTGAACATGAAGTAAAGCCTTCTGTTTCTTTAGCAATATCTTTGATTCGATACCTATATCGGGGGAACTATATAAAACTAATGTATTACACCGTTTTATGAGGTCATCTTTAGCTTTAATTTTTATCATCATACCCTGTATTATATTTGTTAAACCGGCAAAGGAGTTTGTATAATTTCATTGCGGCAACCATTTCAAATTTTCAACGATACAGATGATTTAATATTTTAATATCAATTTAACCTAAATTCAATTGTTGCAATTCATTTTCTTTATTTATTTTTTTATTTAAATAAGGTACACTTACAGATTACAGTCAACACATGACTTCGACAAATATATCAGATTACTTAGCCTAGACAATAATCCAAAATTAGTGTACACAGCATGATCCATAATAGAGGACGGTCTATACAGTTCTAGCAAAAAAAAAACTAACTTATTCTATCCAATGACTTCTATCCAAAAAAAGGGATTATTTCATAGGTGAAGATACCTGGTCTTTAAGGAAATCAATTATAATCTTTTTATATCTGGAGAATTTATGGTCAAAGATGTCGATTTCATCGTCTTTGCTACTACGGGAAAACTCATTAAATGTGCGACACATTCTAACTAGAGGGCTGTAAAAGGATGTATTATTTTTGTATACCTTCATTGCAAATATATTAGGATGGCGCGATTTTGTCTCGTATTAATACTTATTGATGCGAGGAGATCCGGTGCATCAACGGAAGCATGCAGCATGCATTTTTATCCAAAACCGAAAAATATGTGTCTTTATGTTGCAAAATTTTATTCCAGTTAAATGTTGCAAGCTTAATAAGAGCTTATAAAATATCTGATTAGTGTGCACTTCAAACTTTATTCAGCTCTCGTGTCATATCACACATATATATATATATATATATATATATATATAATAACAAATGTGACAAAACCACCAGGTAAAAAATACAAATACGAATTTAAGTTATTTCAAGCGCGAATTAAAATGTGACTTCTAGCATTTACATGCTTTTAAATTACAGTCTTATATATGCTTTGAATGGCCTTATAATAGGTAGTAGTTTTATGTGTACTTACAACATGACCGTTCCTGAAGAAGTAGGTTTGCGTCCAGCTACTATTTGCTATCATTATAATAGGTAAATGGATAAGATACATAGCATAAGACAAACGAGCTGGTAATTTCCACATGCTTAATGATAGAAACCAATTCACAGGACCTGGAATTAAATTAATTAATATGATAATTATCATCTTCTAATCAAGGATAACAATATAAGTGTAATTATGAATGAACTAAAAATAAAGAATAATTTTAAAATATAAATCTAATAATTAATCACCTCCATATCCATGGACACAAGCGAAAATAATCCATCCGAGACTAAGAGACCACAATGACCTCATGTAGGCGTTTAAGAAGTTGTCAAAAGTTTGGTAAGTCCAGTCGAGTTGCATCACTGGATAAATCGAGAAAACGCAGAAAGACATCAGGGCAAACGCCATGCAAAATAAAGCGGTGACTACTCCCTTAAAATAAAGAATTACAATCATAAGGTTTATCAACCATTGGAAGATTACTTTTTTCGATTCAACATGATTTTAATTCATTGATATTTACCCTTGAAATTTTGACTTTCTTCCCGCGATATAGGTGAAGAATGTACCCGTAAATCATTCCAACGAAAAATGGCGGAGCTCGAGCTAATGTATTTATGTAGTATGTTTGCATGTAATCAGCAAACTCTGCTATCCGGCTGGAAAATAAAGAGAAATATTTAGAAATCGTTAAAAAATTATTATTTAAAATTCAAAATACTTATTCCAATCACTTACTTGGGCTGGACAAGAGCAGCGCTAAAATCATGAATGAAGCTGTACGCGGAAGATGATACTAATGACAGTAGTAGAATACAGCAGAGAGCAGCCCACGCAAATTTTCGTGACCCAAACAACCAAAACAATATCAGCGGTGAAAATATATATAGTTGAGTATCAACAGAGAGGTACCAAGTATGCGCTAAGCACTAAAACAAAAATTTATAGATTTTTATTTACTGTTATATGCAATTTGAGTTAATATCCAAACGAATATATACAAAAATGAGACACGAGACAATTAGTAACTTACTGTTTCAAGAGGATTTACATAATTTTGAACATAAAGTAAAGCGGACCACCAATATCGCCTGCAATTTTCAGTTGCATGAGCCATGTTCTGCCAGAAGGGACCGTCAGACACGTAGTTGAAAACAGATGCCTGGAGCAGTATGACGATAGCGAGGAGAGGAAACATACGTAAGAGACGGTTGATGTAGAACAGGTGAACGGTTCTCACAAAACGTCCTGAAATTATAAACAAAAGATTTTTAGAGACTATACAGAGCTAGTTGTCGATATACAATAATCTCTTTGGATTACATATTCGTAGCTAAAATCATGAACTACTTATCCTATAAATTTTGACAAATCCATACAGTTTGCTTTCATACCAAAATTTATTGTTATTTTATTTTACCTCTCAAACGATAATCACTCTACACGCATTTTGGCATCTAATATGTCTCTGCTTTCTGAGTGGAGAAAAGACAGAAACGGATTTTGCTGTAAAAATCTTATCATTAATTGTACTGACAAGTAAGAGTTTTAATTATTTAAGCTCTCACTGGATTTTAAACGGTACCAGAATATGATTTACGCTTTTACTTATTACTCATTTAGTTAATTAAAGCTATTATACAAATAGTATGTTATCAATGGATTTCCTAGCAATCCGATTTATTTTGCAATTAGTCCTTATCTGTAATATCGCAGTTTGTGTTAATGATAGCGGCTAGTAACGATTACGTTTTGAAGATATTTTTCGACAGGCTGTTACTAAATAAATTTACTATAAAATAGAATGGATATCACGATTCAATAACTAGTAAAGATAATTACTTACTTTTGCCTATTTTCCCGATAGTGCTATAAACTGCCAGGATGCCACTCAGTAAGAAGAATGTGTCTACTGTCAATGGTGCAGAATTGACCCAAGTACTTGTGAATAATCTCATCCACTGTAATAGAAAAATTATCTATTAAAACAAAGAGGAAATGTGTAATTGAGTCACTAATTTAGAACAAAGTAAGGACAGAAACTGAATAATATTATTTTTTATAAACTAAACTTTTTTATTTTAGTCCGACATAACTGACATAAGAAGTGAACAGAACTAATATTTGAAAAATGTAATCATTTAGAATCTATTAGTATAAGTAGTATATGTACTACATTAGTATAACATCTTATAAATACTTTTTTATGTTACAGACATAACTTTAACGCTTACCCCGAGGACTTCTTGTATGTTGTGTACAAAACCTAGCAAGGTCATTGAATAGGTATGCCCGACGACGACCCACATCATTGATATCGCCCGTATGCCATCAACACACTCCAAGGCACCGGGACTACTATTGAAAGTCAGGAAGCGTTTCGTGTTTGTAAATACTGAGAAGCTAGTGAACATTTTATTCGGACCTGGAAAAAGTTATTCTATTCGTGTAATCTTATTCTATTTAACTTACAGACATGTTTTTTACACAAAACCTCAGAACATTATCCTAAAATCAACATTTTAACTTGTACTGGTTAATAAGAAATATAATTTTTAAAATAATTACATCGTTTAAAAAACGTGAATATTCGTTCAGAAAAAAAGAATAAAAGGAAAAGAGTTATTAAACTTACGCCTTTTGACTCCAAAAACATTATATAAATCATAACTGGTGCTGGAGATAGTCAGGACTCCAATTATAGAAAATATCACACTGAAAGAAATGAGATTCTATTTAAAGATGCCTCATATTAAAATCAAAAATAAAAACTTTTGTCCAAAACATTGGGTGCTCTTGGTTTTATTTCATAATCCGTGCAACTGAAGATAAACTAACTAAAGTTTACTTTTGTTATCTTAGTTGTCTACAGAAATGAAAACCCAGTTTGACAGAATTACCACCAATAGGTTTCCACATATATAAACTTACAATGCAACATAATCAGCTGGTGCAAACGGTCGGTCATCTGGCAGACGATAATAATGTTCAATGAAGGTGAAGTTGAGGAATGGAATCCGACTTTGGAAGTAATTGACGGTTTCTGTCGATGTACACACTCTAGGAACGCAAATGCCCAACATCGCTCGGCCTTGAGCTGCGATAAACATGGGAAATATCCTGTAAAAAATATGATTTAATTAATAAAATACAACGCTCAACCTTTTGATGTTTTTATATTAACAACGCTACTCGAAGATAGTGACTATAATTAAGTTTTAAGTAATCAAGAACAGCTTTGATGACAACGAAAGCTACTGCTTAGTCAGCCGCAGAATCTTTATCGTCAGTTTCTACTAATTCGTCTTTGTCGATGTACGTTTTCGAAATACCACGAGGTTTTTTTTCAGTACTAAATTTTTGTTGCGTGCCGCTTGTATTGCTTTGTTGCTAAGACGGTATATTGCGGTGTTTTGAAATATAAAAAATCATAAATTTATTGCCTACCTCGTGTTGACATCCTGTTTTTCAACAACAACTCTGTCATCGCCTACAGCCATAATTTGAGCCCATCTCTGTAGATTGGAATAGTCTTGATGGTTTTTTATCAGTTCGGTGGGTAGCGGTGGCAAAGTAATATTTGGCAGTCCTGGTATTTCTGGTAATTCCGGAATTTCCGGTATTGGTGGGAGCTGTGGTATTTGTATTTCTTGATTGAGAGGTATCAATACAGCACTGTATTTACCTTTTATATTTGTACCATTGACATGAGTATCAATGCCTAGACACTGGTAATAGTCACCGAGGTCGTTCAAGTTTGATGACGCTATACCATTGGGAATTTTCCCACTGGCGTCCAGAACTGTGGAAAGAAAATATCAAAATGTAAATATTTTATGCCTGATATTTTAGACTTATTATAGACAATGTCTTTTAATTATAGTTTTATCAACCATATTCTTATTTGATTTCTTTATTCCTTAAACACGGTAGTTAAACAAACAAACTAGCTTTTCCTGCAATTTGATTTACGTGAAAAAAGTGCACTATTCGAACACGAACACAATATTGTTATTTAAGAAAGCTATATTTTTAGCACTCCTGTTCATTATATGTGGGATTTACTCATACGGGATCCTGAGCTTCTAATCCCTTTGATGCATGATTCCAGATAACTTTTCTTATATAATTGTCAAAGCTTTTTTAACTTCATACCAAATTTCATCTAAAGCAGTTCAACATACACTTTAAGTATGAAAGAATAACAAACAAATAAAATAAAAGAAAGGGTTTAGCCGGATACGTATGACGAGTCGGCCCCCAAATGGGAATCGATATTGAAACTTATGTTTTAATATCGACTTGATGTTCAAACACGATTTATGTACTTTTCGCGACCGACTTCCGCTTTGACCTTGAGATAGAGAGCAAAATATCCGTATGCTTGACTATTACTGAATGTAATATTTCTCTAAAGCTAATTAAGATAAAAATGTGAAACTAACGCGAGGTGTTAGGTTACATTACAGAGTATAACACATATATTTTTTTATAATTTTTAGAATAAAAAATTACATTAAAAAAATAAAAAATAAAAAAAACATGTTTTTCTTTCTGAGTTCTCTGTGACTTACAATCACGAAATTAATATATGTTATGCTCCTTTGTGTGCTCTATTACCCATAAAAATTGCGTGAAAAAAAAGTTGGTGCAACACAACGAAAAAAAATTATATGTGATTTCTGTCTTATGGTATACCCCTGTATTATAAGGTTTTCACATTACATCATTGTTTTTTTTTCGAAATTTCACATCAACTTGTTTTAAAACATAAGTAACTAGTCTTAAGAGATGGGATAGTAGTTAAAAAAGAAATGAAAAAAAAAAACAGCCAGTGTTCAATACTTATTATTATTACTTTTTCGTGTCTATCAAAATACAAGAAACAAAATATTAATCATCGTCACTGTTGTAATTAATTACAATCGGAACACTTTGAGTCGCAAATAACTTAGTTAGGACCTCAGCAGGACGTACGATTTTGGACAAATATCATCCATATGATAGATAATAAATAATAGCTGCTACATGAGAACAGCATCCCACTGTACGTTTGCCATTGGGGCAATCACAGCAATAACGAAGAATACTATTGTAGTCATTACCTTCGGAAATATAGTGAATGTAAATTCGATAGACTTTTCTATTTATATGTCTTGATTTTACTTCTGCTTTGATGATATTAGGTGCTGATTTCACATATTGTACTGAGAGATTATTTTGATCGTCCATTATTTCGGCCAAATGCTGCACATTTAGAAGTAGAAGCTTTTTTGTTAATATATGGGATAAATCGACACTTCTTACAAAAAATATCATTAACTATTACGATTTTATTCAAACAGTCACTAAACACTTTAGCTTCTTCTTCATTCTTTATAATTTTTTTATAACCAGGAATCTTACACAGGTACTTGTTACAATTTTTACACTTTCTCGACATTATTACTTAATAATGATTTGGTTCGATTGTTAATAATTTCAAAATGCTGATACAAAATACCTATGACAGAATTTGAGTCCCAAACTGCCTTCTTGTGTAATACAAATGACTGCTACTTTAGCTAAACAAACGATGCAGTAAACAGCTCGATAACAAGTTCGAACTTGTTTGTTTATACACTCATAATACAAGGCGCGAATCACATATAATTTTTTTTCGTTGTGTTGCACCAACTTTTTTTTCACGCAATTTTTATGGGTGATAGAGCACACAAAGGAGCATAACATATATTAATTTCGTGATTGTAAGTCACAGAGAACTCAGAAAAAAAAAACATGTTTTTTTTATTTTTATTTTTTTTATGTAATTTTTTATTCTAAAAATTATAAAAAAATATATGTGATATACTCTGTAATGTAACCTAACACCTCGCGTTAGTTTCACTTCTTTATCTTACTTAGCTTCAGAGATATATCACATTCAGTAATAGTCAAGCATACGGATATTTTGCTCTCTATCTCAAGGTCAAAGCGGAAGTCGGTCGCGAAAAGTACATAAATCGTGTTTGAACATCAAGTCTATATTAAAACATAAGTTTCAATATCGATTCCCATTTGGGGGCCGACTCGTCATACGTATCCGGCTAAACCCTTTAAATATAGACAGAATTGTCTTTACTTATACATTATGTATAAGAAAAAACAATATTAAAAGTATTGAGGTGTGGGGGAGTTAACAGTTACCCAGTTGCGAACGCGTTGCACAAACTTGCTCTGTCTCCTGATTTCCCATTAGAACAAGATACGAAAGTAATCACTCAAAATGAGATATAAATAAAACGGGAATGCATATAAACAACATGACTAGATATGAAAAAAATATAACTAAAGCCATTTTGATTAAAATCAAAATTAACAATCACATATAATAACCATAATCATTATAATTTCTATACCATTATAAACATTAATTCTAAAATTCTATTATTTATAATTTAGTGTGCTAAAATCTACTATACCTAATATCAATACGTAAGCAAGTCACTGTACTTACATAGTAAACCAAGATTGGTGTTTGATAATATGTCCAGCTGCTTCTGGCATATTTCAGGATCCAAAACATTTTTATACAGATCATGGTCAAAAGCTCTCCTAAACCCATCACAATTGCTAATTAACAAAATAACAGTCACAGCACAGTATCGAATCATGTTCACTGTCATGTCTCTCTACTGAAATCAAATTCACTAATAAAAGTGTATTGATATGCGGCATATATTTATTTGGCCATAATCAGTAGCGTGTTATCTTTAGATAATGAAGCTATTAGAATGCTTTGACTGTAGTGATCTAATAAATAATCTTAGGGATTCGTAGTAGAAAATTAAAATTATTTTAAGAAAGTATTTTTTATCTCGATAATATTGCTATTACCCATTACAATAACATGATACAGGAAAAATATTTTATCAGAAAACAAGCTTTTCCCATCGTTCATCGTACCTTTTTTTTGTATTCTTTTAATTTTTAATGGGTTTTTCTTCTTTTGAACATGTCAACCCCATACAATACCGTACTTAAATCTAAATTCATTTTATGACAATATTTCACTAGGGCTTTTTTACAGCATTTGATACAGTTTATTTTAAATTTATCAGTAATTTACATATTTTTTGTGCAATTATAGACTCAAGCTCTGTTAAAATAGTTTAAATTAATCCAATATCTAAAACATTTAATTTGAATCCTTCCATAAATGATTCTGTCTCATCTTTGTTTCTAATACACTCCATCAGCAAATGTTGTACATCTTCAATTTTATTCCAGGCGTGGCATTTATCTGTCAGTCATTTTCATTAAATATGTAAATTTTGCCGATGGGTAGTGTCCAGAACGGAGTTTTAAAGAAAATTTAATGTAATTTCTACTTATTTTAATATTATCACAACAGGTTGCACAAGGAGGTTGACTTTGAATTGTTTTAAACCACATACCTTTTTTTTTAGAATCCTTATCATTAACAAATTGTAGATATATCAATAAGAAACAGTCGACTTTCATGAGCATATCGGATTTTGCATCGAATTTATTGACTTTTTAATTTTTTATCTTCAAAGTAAAAAAACGTGGGTAATTTTACATTTTGTACAATGACTACAACATTTTTCAGATTTTATTTCTGTATATCAGTCAATTTTCAACGACTTGATGAAATTTATATGTATATTCAACAGATCTGTGAATAGGCTGCTATCTATTTTTATATCCCTAACTGATAAGGGTGGTACCAATTTAAATGGCAAAACAACGCTTGTCGGCTCAGTTGAAATCAATAACTAAAAATCTTATATACCGTATAAACTAGTGTTCCAGTTGAAAGTTAAATGAAAGAAAAATATTTTGATTTATAACATGAGTTCACATCGGATGTCAATAAACCCGAATATAAAAAAAAATACATTTATCAAAAACCTTATTTTAACACAAATTTAATTAAAGAATATATACGGCACCATTATAGTCTGTTGTCTAGTATTCGAATTGGTATAACTTTACTTTCTATATTTTTAAAGAGACATCAAACGGCGTGAATCATGAGATCGATGGATGAATCATTTTCGTCACTGAAAGAGCGTGATGGTAAACTTTGATCCATTTTCTATTTATTTATAGATTATAATCTAAGTCCGTGTCTTTTGTTTTAAACATCTGATAAAGTTTTATTGACGATTTAAATGAATTTGTATGACATAAACTTTTGAGAAATACCTAATCCCTTTTTATTAATAACCCTAATTCATTAGACCAACAGTATACGAGATTGTTCGTGTTGTGGCACGGATATTACACATAAAATAATTATAAACGATATTTTTATAATATCATCATCAGCCATTTTACGTTCCCAATGCAGGGGCTCAGACCTTTCTTATGGATAGTGAAGGAAGACGCTCCATGACCCTCCACGCTGGCCCAATGCAGATTGGAGGATATTAACGACTGCAAATGCAGCCGGGACCAACGGCTTAACGTGCCTTCAGAAGCAAGAGATATTTTTTTTTTGTGGTCACCCATCCCGTGACCAACCCTTACGAGGGTTGGCCGCCCATTATGCCTCTGTTTTTTTTATTCTTTTTATATAATGTATAACTTGCCTTGTTAGTGTGATATTTTTATATAATAGGTAACAATAAAAATATTTTTCTAAAAACTGCGCCAAAAGCGATACCCTCCATTTTCTTAGTACCTAAAACCTACTACTAAGTCCTACAAATACTATGCGGAAAATGAACTTTCAATGCACCGTTGAAAGCACCAGTTTTCAATTAAAAAAATCTGATTTACACGGCAAGCACTAGTTTCAAATAAAAAAAGAATCATCAAAATCGGTCAACCCAGTAAAAAGTTATGAGGTTACAAACAGCAAAAAAAAAACAGTCGAATTGAGAACCTCCTCCTTTTTTATCTACCATCAGTCATAAACAGTTGGTATACTTTGCTATACTATCGCTTGAGTCGTGTGAATATCATATTAATATTATAAATGCGAAAGTTTCTTTATTTGAATGTTCGGATGTTTGTCCGTTAATCACGCCGAAAGTACTGAACGAATTTTGATGAAATTTGGTATACAGATAGGGTATTAGCTGATTTAGATGATAAGATACTTTTTATCCCACTAAACATTTCACTAGGAACCAAGCGGGCGAAGCTGCTGGAGAAAGCTAATATTCAATAAATCTCTCGTCATATGTGCACAATTTTTGTTATATATTCGAAATACACACGGAAAAATTATTCTGGTATGTGTAACCATATTCTGGTTACCATTACAATATTTATTGCTCTATATGTGACGACCACTCGTATCGTAAGCGTTACACAATGATTCTAGTTAAACATGAATTGTAGTTGTCACATTGTTATTGTTAATTTTACTATTTAATTTTTCAGGTCTACAATCCTTTTTTGTCCTACCAACAAGAAAGTTTATGTTGTTAATCAAAAGTTTTGTAAATAACATATAAACGTTTAATTAAATTTACTGAATGGCATCGTTTAATTTACTACAAAAAAATTACTGATACGATTTGTTGTGTACCTCTGACAAATATTGTATTATAAATGGAACAGAATGATACGTTCACATTACAAAATGACTTGTAATGACAACAATAGAGTATTGTGTAGGTAACTTCTTATTTTGTAAATGGACCAGAAAAAGTAGTTGGCTTATTCCACCGGAACTGGCGGTAAAGACGTGATTGCTTGAAATATGCTTTTATTTCTCAAGATTCATTAAGTTTTCCGAGAAATAAAAGCTCTGAACTTTAAGCAATCACGTCGATACACGACAGTTCCCGCAGAAAATGCAAATAAAAGAATAACAATCAATAATAAGAATCAACACTTTTATTAATTAAAACGTAGAATCAATTAGAAGTAGCTGATACCCTGTCGGCTTTTTTAAAACAGGGTGCTCATTCATGTAGTCAGATACTGTTATATTTTTAGTCTCTTCAAGTCTAATCTTGAATGTATTTTTCCTTTTCTCTTCTTCAACTGTTTTCCAAGGCTCGCTGGATTTTCTAAGCCACTCAAGGTCTTTATGAATATTTTCTGAAAATATAATATGATTCATGAACTTGGCAGCGACAGATTAATGCCTAATGTGCCTGAAGTGGGAAATGGTAGCAAATATCTATACATATAATGAAATCGTAGGAAAGTCAAAACTGTACATTGAATATTTTGTAAAAAGAATACTTGAGGTGTGATCTACAATCGATATCGAAGCCAAAAATATAGTTTTTAGAATTTTTGTCTGTCTGTTTGTATGTTCGGGCTAAACTCAAAAAGAACTGCATGGAATTACTTAAAATTTTGCATGAATATTACTATGAGGTTGGGTCAACACATAGGCTACGAAAGCCACGCGGACGAAGTTGCGGGCAAAAGTCCTATATATAATTAAAAGTATGTAAATCAAACTCTTACTTGTGATTGATTGGATTGATTGTCGTTCTCAGAATCCATCAAGGTCTTCCAATTGTTTAAATTTTTAATAAAATTTACTCTATGTCCAACTGGTGGTATGAGCTTCTTAATAATATGCGAGTCCAACAGCATTAAGCAGTCCATCATAATGTGGTTTTCTGAAATTAAAAATACATAATAATAAAAAAATATATAGATCAGTCAGCCCGGTACCTAATATCTAAAAGAGAGGTAAGGATTTACTTTTATATCCCAGTCCCACCTACATCTCACAACATAACATTTTGTATATTTACAAAGTTATGTACTCATACGCAGCTCTGGGAGAAAAAGATAAACAGCTGCCATCATTCCCGTGCAAGATCCAAAATCAGAGTATCAGACTGAAGGGAAAGGACATTTTAAAGTACTTTATTGAGGCGACGGGCTGATGAGCACTTGTCATATCACTACTTAGTAACACAATAAAAACATCTAGCTCCCTCGTCAGACGTGGCCGCTTGTATGAATTACACCGTAGGGCTTTGCTTGCCCCGATATATGGGCGTGATTATAATTACCTATGTATGTAATCTAAAAAGTCAGGCGTATATCATTTATGACGAGTACATATGAAATAAATGAAACTTACCAGAGAACACATCCACATAACCGCTGAGAACCCAAGCAATAAGTAAGTTTCTGACATCTTCGTCCATTTCAATTTTAAAACAATAAAACACGATTAGGAAGCGTAATGGCAGCGATCGGCGGGCGATTATCCCATAGAATAATAGTAATCCTATCACTGTCACTTCACTGCGCGCGCGACTAAAAGAAAGAAAAATGATGCAATAAGTTCACTGCCCCTCACCCCCCCGCATCTCGATCGCCGCCAAGCCGCGCGAAGTTTTGCAAATGCAACATCACTGATTGTTCTCTATACTAATTGTATTGTAATTACAAACGTATTTTCAGTACTCATCATAACTCGTGTTGTAGATTTTTAAAATACAATTTTTCTTGTAATGTTTAATATACTTTCAGTGCTGATTACAATTTCAGAAATAACAGAACTGTAATTGTATTGCTTACAAAATGTCAACTTATGTTAACAATATTTCTGTTTCTGTGTACAAAATTATAGTTGTCTTTACAGTATTTCTCTTAACCTAGACGTTTTGTAGTATTGTAAACTAAAAAGTTTTTCCGTGCATGCCCCATTTTTTTATGTAAAACGTACTTA